AATGAGAAAACATTTTGTAAGCACAAAAGTTTATTAGAAAAAAAGAGAGCTTTTTAACAGGAAAAAAATTTGGATATGTTTCTGGAAAATATATAATTGATGACGTAATTAGTCGTTTCTGTCACATCCCAAATATAATACTTTTAATTTTATTTAATTTTTTTCTATCCTCACAGTAGGCCCATACTATCGAGTTTGAAAAACCCTGTACATAAAGCTTCATTTGAAAAATTGACTTGCTTTGTTTTTAAAAAGACAATAATTTGTAGGACCTTATTTAAAATCACGAATTTAATTACATGGTTATTGTTATTTGTAGCGGACGTTGAAAAAAAAACACCCATGACTCCCAAAATGTTTCATTTCCATATACGGGGTGTTTTTGAAAAATGTTACATCTACATGAATATTTCTGAAAATTTGTGACACAAACTAATGAAACTTGAATTGATGGAATACAAATGTGTCAACAAGCGGCACTGTCAAAATGAAGATTTGTCGTTTATGTACATACTGAGTGCTATTTACACAAACCCCATCTAGAATGTTATTATTATTCACAGTAGCTCGATAGTTCTTTAAATCATTTAATTATACTCCCAAGTAAATGTTATTTCTACAATGAATTTAATGGAACTGAGAAATTGATAACTTCAAACACTCACCTTCCAGAAATGTTTCCATTCAAATATTTATCAGAATTAGAACAATGTCGTGAAACGTTCTCGTTAAGTTCGTGCTTCAACTGTAACTTTGCCATAAACTTCAACTTGTCAGAAAACCGCTCCGGCAACTCACTATCCGTTCCCTTGCTGTTCACGTTACTAACGAAAGAATCGCTGAGGCATTCTATGGATTTCTTCTTAGCTATCCTTATACTCGACCGCATCGGCAGCCTGTTAACCCTGTTGTTGTTCTTCACAACACCTACATCATCTTTGGTCTTCAGCACGTGGATCTTCTCCTTGGGGTTCGTCGTCGGTAGGTTCTTGTCGGGTACGGCGTCAGCTTTCAGTTTTCTCCTCAGCGGTAGCCCCAGAAGTTCGTGTTGAAGGTCCCTCTGGTAGCACCCCGACGAGAAATGGTCACTGCAAACGCGCGCGTACGGTGGTGGTATCACGTCATTCTTCCCGCTGGCCTTCGCCCATTTCATCGCCAACGAAGGGGACGCCGGCAGCATGTGATAAATTATTTTAGAATTCCCCCTCGTCTTGCCGTAATAGTTGGTACACGACGACACGTAGCACTGCGGCATTGTTGTACCTAATTATTTAACTGACCGTTCTCTCCCTCATGCGTCTGTACTAACACTGCTGCTCAATACTGATCTGTATTAAACTAAATGTCGGATACATAGGGCTGCACTTCCTTTTAAGGCTGCAGCAATTTCGCCCTTAGGTATGGGTGGTTTAGATGCCGGGGATGCTAGTTTTTCGACAGGCAGATGCCGTACAAGCGGCACCCCCTTGCAATTCTACCCTCTCCCGACCGTTGTGTACCGCTCTGACGTAGCGAGGTATAAACACTGGAGCGGGCTAATACTATTATCGGTGTTTAGACGATCTTATCTATATTTATTATTGCTAATTATAAAATTGTATCAATGTTAAACATCGCTATTTGCTCCTTATTTAGAACACACTTCGAATCGACTACTTGCTGCACGCTTATCCTAGAGTAGCAATAATAGGAAAAGGTTTTCTTTCGCATTTGCTAGCGGCTTTGTTTACATATAATACAGGTGGAGAACCAGTCGAACTTATAGTCCAATTAACTAAGCCTTTAAATCGAAATTTTGCCAACTTGGCTGAATTTTTGATATGAGTTAGTTTAAGGTATATTATAACAATAAGTGAGAGTAATTTTTTGTTCAACCCCCGGCCAAGGGTGGAAAAAGATAAAACTAAGGGCTTTTTCAAGATAACTCACAAAGGGTAAGCGCTAGAAAAAAAAGTTTTTCATGAAAGTTGTAAAGCAGACAATTCTACATAAAAATGGCCTCTTAACTTTTTCTTGTACTATTACAATTAACAAAGTTAGGGAGGCTAGAAGTTAAGGGAAGATTTCAGAAATTTAAAAAAAATCATAACAAACAGAAAAATGATTGAATTTTGTAATTTTTTTTTTCAATCTGCTCTAAAATATGTAACTTTTCTTTTCAGAGAAATAGATATATTTTTTAATTTTTAATAAGAAAGTTATAACAAAAAATCAAATTTTTAATCGTTAATTTTAATGATTTAACAAAATTAAATTTCTGAAATCTTCCCTTAACTTCTAGCCTAGAGCTAGAAAAAAAAGTTTTTCATGAAAGTTGTAAAGCAGACAATTCTACATAAAAATGGTCTCTTAGCTTTTTCTCGTACTATTAAAATTAACAGAGTTAGGGATGTAGAATTGTCTGCTTTACAACTTTCATGAAAAACTTTTTTTTCTAGCGCTTACCCTTTTTGAGTTATCTTGAAAAAGCCCTTTGTTTTATCTTTTTCCACCCTTGGCCGGGGGTTGAACAAAAAATTACTCTCACTTATTGTTATAATATACCTTAAACTAACTCATATCAAAAATTCAGCCAAGTTGACAAAATTTCGATTAAAAGGCTTAGTTAATTGGACTATTAATAGTAGTAATAGTAGATGGCGACTTACTCATAAAGTCCCTTTCACCCTTGTTCGTAGTATCAATTTGTAAAGGTCGCCATCTAGTATTTTCGTTGCTTAGTATATTTGTCTAACTACCTTATTTATAAACGAGACATAGTTTAGTTCTAAATTGAGATAATTATGATATTAAAATTACTATAATTATCACTGACAGTAATTCATTATATTAATTGTACCTTTTTTCCAAACAAATATATGTTTTTGCATTCGTTTGATAAAACAGACTATTACTTTGTACTTTACTTCCTGCTGAAGGTCACGTTAAATCAAGGAGTGATTTTGATAGCGTTCCCGATGTACAAATTATATTTATTTATATTTGGTTAACATTTTTTCTTCCTGTCCAAAAATGAGGTGACACAACATGAGTAATTAATATTTTCTAATGTACAGTTGTATAAGGTGTAACAGTAACTTTGCGACTAATTCCAAAATCAAAAGAAGGCAAGATTAACTTTTTTCCTGAAACTACGCCTTAAAAATTGGAAGAGAGACACCATTCTCGATCAATCTAAGGAAGATTCAGAAATGAACCATCCTTATCAAATTATTTGATTTTATATTTATACAGTTGAAACCAACTACCGAGGTACCTCACCATTTGTAGCTTGGTTTTTTATTTCTTTTGGTCACAACATTTGCAGTTATCAAACAGAAATTGATCTTGTCATCATTTTTGTAAGAGAAGCATATTGCTCTTGTAAAAAAATTAACATAATTGATCAAGGGTTTAACATTCTCAACTTTGTGGTAGATACAAAACATTCAAGGAAATAACTAGTTTGAAGTAAGTAACTATTTAAAAATAATCATCGTTTCTGATAATTCAGATGCTGAAAACAAAATTGCATTATTTTTTAAAAACACATGAAAACCTGTAATTTAGATGTGATCACCAAAGTTGAACTTAGAGTTGAAAGCAATGATAATTCTACAGTGAGCAAGACATCGTTATTCTCAACTAACAATGAGGTCTTGTAATGAAGCACTTGAGAAGTCATTAATTAGCACCCGTTTTCAGTTGAAACGCTTTTAGGTTGTCAGAAAATTTAAACATATGGGCCTACTTTAGCATTTAACTTTGAGAGTGTTTGAAAGACGAAATATCAGCATTTGCTCGAAATAAACTAATGCAACAATTTTTTCAAGCAATTTGAGACGTATAATAAGTTAAGAAAGCTAAAAATTTAAAATATTAAAAATTGCCTGCATTTAAAAAATAATAAATAACTTAACTAAAAATTTTCTAAGTGTAAAAAGTAAACCGAAACTTCTTCAGATAAAAACAAGAAACAATCTCAGTACCAATATGCTTTTGGTAATTGTTTTGTTTCGACCTGAGCAAGCTTTGATTAATTTTCCTTACATCTAATTATAATTCACCCTGTATGGTATATCTACATATCATGGAAAATTTTTGGAATTTTCTGGAAAATTGTCATCACTGAATATGTATAACTGTATATATTTTTGGCATATAAACTAACGTGATCTAGTTACATTCAGTACATTCTATCTTATAAGTTTCAAATTAAAAATTCCAATATTTCAATGGAAAAATGTAGGTGAGCATATAATGTTAAGGAATTTATGTTCAATGTTAAAAGTTGTAGATCTGTAGGCATCTTTATCGATAGGGAAAAGAGGGGCATAACAAGATAAACGTTAAATATGGGAAATTGTGTGTTTTCTTAGACATTAAATTGTATTTTTCATATTAAATGCCATACCATTATGTATCATTACTTGAAAAGTATTCCTGCAAAATTTGCTACTAAGTTAGAGCTTAGTGATATGAAATATTTTGAATTAGATACCTAGAGAGCTTATGAATTGGACTTTCCATGGGACATTGGCCAGTCTTGCCCCAATATGTATTGCTTGCAATCTTTGTACTTTAACGTAATTTGGTATTACATATATAAAACTGAAATGTTAAACAGAAAAAAGCTAAAGACACTAAAAATTAAGAAGATAATAATTAATAGGAATTCTGTATTGTGTAGAATTACCAAAACTACAAACTACAAGATGGGTTTATAAAAGTAGTATTCAAAAAGAATAAGAAATACGTGTAATTTGAACTTAATAATGTTCTTGGCTGCCTCCCATGAGTTGGTAGATGCCACCTTCAAAGCTGGCACATAATGGGACAGCATACCTTTTTACAAAAACTTAATTTTTGAACCACTTTTAGAAATGCGCTCTATTTTATTAAAAGTCTTCTAGTAGTGTCCTCATCTCCCCTATATCTAGATGTTACTATTAATAATTCTAGGTACCAAATAATTAGATGTAAAATTATGATTCGAAAACAAAAACAAAATATGCACTTACCACTTTATGCTCCTCCTTTTTAAATTTTTGGCAATAAAATTAGTCGTGGATATCCTGCGGACGTCCTTAGTCATACTTTCAGGAAGCTCGTTTTTCTCCAGGTTTCCAGTGTTGCATTCTGAGATGGTGTTTTCCGATTTAAAAGAAATTCCTTCGTTGACGTTGTCCATATTAGAGAGTAGGTCATTGTTGAATTCAAGATTATTTTCTCCCGCCAAGAATTCGTCAACAACATCCCCCTGTGTCAAAATGTCCGAACTATTTTGCAATATCTCATCTCGTGGTTGGTCGTCTGGCTTATTTACAATTATTTGTAGAGTCGTACTATCTTCGTTTGTATTGTTATCTTTGATATGGTTTGCTTTAACCTCGACACCGTTTCTATTAATAGATTCACAATTATTTTGAAATGTCATTAATGAATTATCCGCCATTTTCATTGTTATGAATAATCAGTAGATGTAGATACGGTTTATGCCAATTTACCAGCACTGTTTCATTCCCTTTTAAATAAACACACAAGAACCACACCTATGATTTTATTTGAAGCAGTCACTGAGTAAGCTAATTGTGAGAAGCAGGTTAGTAAACGCAATTCTTATGTATATAGTAAGCAGTTACGTCTAAATATTTAGAAGTCTGGTGTTTATTGATTGGATGGGGCTTTGGGGGCTGTAGGAATCTACATTTTCGTTTAAAATTGGCGCTACAGAAGTGAATGCCTCCGCCATCTATACAGCCATGGCTTTAACACAAGGTTGTTGAATGTGTCTGTGAGGATGGCGCCACTGTTTCTATTCAGCCGGGCAAGTAGTTCAAGGCTGCTCGCATTAAAGTTGATTGATTTTACGATTAAGGCACTGGAAATATGTAATAAAAATATTTGTTACTCTGGTATTGATCACTTCTCTCCAAGCTCGATGTAATGTTTCTAAGAATTTTCTTAATATTACGACTGTTCGGAATTCATGGTAAAATATTGTCGGTGTTAATGCTTATATTGTACTTCTATTTATTTTCTATTCTGACGATTTTTATGAGCGATTGGTGATTTAGGTCAAGCAAATGAGAAATACAACATTTTAAAAAAGTTTAAATTACTTCTTTTGCTTCTCTTCTGTGAAAGTAAAAGGTTTAAATGGTCAAAAAAGGCAGATGGGCGTACATTTTACACTAATTATAAGCTGTACCAGAGCCCGGCGTATATTAGAAGGAGAAGTGTTTGTTAGGTATAAAATTTTATGAATTTATAGAATGAATAACTCTAGTTATTTTAGATTTATTAGTTTAAATTTAAAAAATGACTCGGATATGGAGAACAAATAAAGAATACCTTTTTTTCTTAGAAATGAGATTGACAAAATGATTGAATTTCTAGAATACTTAGCGAGGTCGACATTTTATAATTTTTTCTTGTATCTCGTAAGCCAGTACATTTAAACCTAATTACGACATTTCGGGCAAAAATTGTTCAAGTGACGGCACAGAAGAGAACATTGAATAAGTTTTATTCTATTTGATACACCACGTCAGAAAAATACACTTTATCAGAAACACCCAGTATATTACACTTGATTTATTTTATAAAAATCTACCTAATACTCTTTATTTTACAACTCGAATAATTTAATAACAAATCAGAGTATTAAGTAATCAAATATAGTAGAATCCACTATTTTGAGCTTACTATGAAAGTCACAGCTAATTTTTTATAATGACAATCATTATTGTACAATTACTGTACAATAAATAATCAAAAAGTGGGAAGTAACAGCAAATGTTGTTGTTTATTTGTTTCTAAATAAACAAGTGGATAATACAAAAAGTATACCTTTATTAAACTTTTAGTTTCTTTAGAAATGTCTGACGAACTAGTTTCTTTTAAAAATGTCAGCTTACGCTCTATCTAATTCCTAATAAGTGTGTAATAAATTTGCTGACCCAGTTAGAACTCGTAAGTACTGTTCATTTGCAATAATGTACAAATTTAGATGCATAATAATTTATGCTAATGCCGTATAGGTATATAGTAATGATAATGAGTTAGTTATAGCATCGAGGCAGCGTGGCAATCTTTCAGAGTATTATCAAAGTAAGTTTATAAAAAGAACAAAGTGGATCTCTTGTCTGCTCCAAGGGGTATCTGTTGAACTCGGCTAATAAGAGTACGATGACTTGACAGAGAAGGAACTTATTACTTAGGTTAATGCAGTTTCTGAACTGTATGGAATAGTACATACATATCAGAAATTATACTGACAGCAAAATCATCAAAAAAAAATGAGAAAATAATGCTTTTTTCCAAAAGATTATTCTTTCTTGGCGACTTAAGGAATTCGATGCTTTTAAGGGGTTTCTTGTATTTCCTGAAGAAAATATACAAAAAAACATTGAACTTGATTTTATTATTGGAACGATGTTTTATGCAACATTTAAAATCGGAAAATTAGTGGTACCTATCCATTTTTGAATATCTCCGTAAGAAATACAAGAAACGCCTTAAGTGTCGATTTTGGCCGACGCTGTACATATTTACACAACGTTTATTAATTTTTAAAATACGTTATTACGTTAAATAATGCTGGTCCCGAAAGAAGATTTCTTACCAGATACGAATACAAATTCGTAACGTTTGTAATAAATAACAGCATTTACTGTAGTATATCATTAACGTAAGTGTTGGGCGTCATTCCTTTGTCTGTGGGCGATGAATGCTTCAATAAGATTGTTGAATGGTGGTAAACACATTCTCTGCATCGCTAAAATACCAACTGCGGCTGCATGAATTCATTCAAACTTAAAAATATGTCCATATACAGACATCACTATCATTCTGTATAAACTTACTATAGGTTTAATTTCTGCTTTGTAACAAAGTTGCTACTTTTTTTTCACTAACAAATCTCTATCTTGTAAATTTTGTTTGTACTGAACTCAGTTGACTTTTATTTAATCACAACTAGTCTTTTTTTTCTTGTAATTAACTACTTTTTTATACAATGTGTACAATTGAGTAATTATAAACATTTAACAAAACTTTTAAGCCATTTAAATATAAGGAAGATAGCATAAAGACGTTTTTAAGTGAACTCTTATTCTAATGCAGTTCCTTTTTAATATTAAAAAATCGAGAATTAAAATTGGAATTTAGTTTGAAACAAAACTTTACGTTATTTTTCTGAAAAGTTATATATTTGTATTATACCACAACCCTATGTGGATAATTAATGAAGGTTTTAAGTTATATTTTAAATAAAAATGTATGATAATTAAAACAGCTTAAATATGGCTATTTCGTGGCTGAAAACATACATAGGTATTGTATTTTTGAAAGCGAGCACGAAACTAAATTTGTACAGGACATAGCTAATACGATGCGAAACATCGCCTTAATGTTAAAAATGTTGTCATCGCCGTTCTTGGTGGTGAAAATTCGAAATATTTGGAATTATTCAAATTTCCTGGCTGAAAACGTACATGTTTTTAAAACCGAGAGAGTTGCATGGAACTAAATTTGTACAGGACATAGCTAATACAATGCGAAACATCCCCTGAATGTTAAAAATGTTGTCACCGCCGTTCTTGGTGGTCGAAATAATTGGAATTATTCAAATTTCGTGGCTGAAAACATTGATACGTATTTTATTTTTGTAACCGAGAGAGTTGCACGAAACTAAATTTGTACAGGATATAGCTAATACAATGCAAAACACCGCCTTAATGTTAAAAATGTTGTTACCGCCGTTCTTGGTGGTAAAAATTCGAAATAATTGGAATTATTCAAATTTCGTGGCTGAAAACATACATAGGTATTGTATTTTTCAGCATGATTGTTTTGAGTTGAACGACTTAAGAAAGACGGACGGGGTGTTTAAGATCAAAAATATTTTCAAAGTTGATAAAGTTGTATCACTGTTGCGAACTGTAACGGCCAAATATGCATTATTTTTAAAATATAGCTTAACAATAGAAATGCGTTGTTCTTTTGTGTAGCGTTTAATTTTTTATAACCCTGAACCGTCAGCAATTACGTTGTCTTTTTTTCCGTTGGCAATACTGTACCGCACAAATTACACAAAATTCAAATCTTACGTGAACTTTAGGGCACTCGATATATTCATCTGAGAGCATGATAGAAATTGTCATAATATAAATAGCGGACAACTTCTGTACAAACCCTTTAAGGTACTTAATTCAGTGAATTAAAAGAAGTCTTTTTACAAATTTAATTAAACACGATTTCACAAATACAAGCAGAACATTCTACTAGGACCTTTAGCTTGAGACATAAATGATTAAATTTTGCAATTATCAACATTTAAATGTGTATTATTGATTTACTTCTATATTTAAAATTATGGCGAATGCGCCAGTATAAATAAAAATGCCTATAAACCTTATACGCTACATATATACAAGATGTCCTGTTCATGTTTCAAAAAACTTGTGTGCAAGATCCACATAGAAAAATAATAGGAGTAGTTTATGTAAATTTTTTTTCTTAGACGCCCTGTGTTGAAGTTGTTACTTTCCAAATGGTTTTCCTTAATTATCTTTAAATCGGCTAAAGATAAAAATGACAAAATTTGTACACGAGTAAACACCAACTGTGCGTTAAAAATAATGAGTAAACGGATTCTTTCTGAAAAGCAGTGCCGCTGATACAGGTAATTGGAGGGGTACATCGAAAAAAAATATGTTAAAAGTCAAAATTTGTTACAGTTCTAAACGGTTCTATAAACTCCAAAGCATACTAAAAAAAGGTATACTTGTCGAAATTTGGTAGCATGTACCATTTTCGAGAAAAATGAAGTTGCATAGAAGGATATGGGGGACAATTTCAGTATCTACGGTAGTATTTCAAGTTTGCACATTTATTTAATTGTGCAGCTGTTTTGTTTTGTATGTCTCCGAATTTGTTTCCTAATATTTTTCTGTTTTTATCACTTTTTTTAAGCATTCATGTCCATCAACAATTCAGTCCATTTAACAATTGTTTATTTTAGTAATGGTAATGTAGTAGTTTACAAAATCTAAAATTAGTTAATAATAGATAATTAACTACCATAATCAGTTTATTATGATTTACTTTTTTAAATATTAATTTACAACAAACTGAAACTTAAAATACATTTAATTTTTTTTTAGTTAATAAAATGTTTTACAATTTAACTGTTTCATGTGATACGAAAAATTTTTTTGAAACATAAACGGGACACTATGTATAAGTGATAGAGACTTCTGCGTACCTACCTATTTGAAATTTAACATACGTTCAGTGACATGCACTTAAAAATTTATATTATTATTTCTTGATTTTAATAGTATTAAAAGATATTACAATAAATAAACCTAAAAATCATATGAAATGAAGTTAACAGTCGTGGATACCAAAAACTCTAGGAACATATGTAAGAAACAAGATCTTAACTGGCCCCCTTTCAAATAAATATTGATAGAACAAAATTAAATAAAACACAACACTTTTTGAAACAATGAAATTTTGAAACGATAATATGAAAAGTATTGACAGAATAGTGCGATTTATTTTTTTAAGTAAAATCTAGTAATAGTCTGGTCTTTCTAGCGTGGCTATTTATACGTATTGGC